GCCCAGTCATGGGACGAATCCCACCACGTTTCTGTTAGCCCTATGACATCTGGGTTTGAACTAGCTATTCTGAGGGCGAGTTCCTCCTGTTTATTCCCCCTACTGCAAGCATTGGTATATAGGCATTTAAGGCCTTTAAGGAGTTAGTTTAACTCCTTCCCCAGTGACCTGAAGGGTTAGCTCCTTCAGTGCTTTACAGAACATGTTTTTTAGTCCAATGTTAAATGACCCAAGCAGCTAGGCTACCACCAACCTCCTGTGGAGAACTGCTCTACAGCAGAGATGTAATTGGTCAGTACGGCATTCTGGATGGTAGCGGCACAGCGCAGCAGCAGTGGCCAGAGGTTCACTGATGGGGGTGGGAGATGTTACCTCCTTTTTTGCCACCAACGTGCGTGTTGAAGAGAGAGTAATGCCTGCCTCTTCTAAAGAGACTCTTTTTTAACAGAAGTTTGCTGCAGCCTCTTTGTACAATTTAACTCATCCATTGAGGATGCTAATCTGCCAAGAGGGAACATGAGTGTCTCAACTAGAGGAATGCTTGTGGCCAGATATTGCTGGGATAAAGGAGGCATAGCTCTAGTCATCATTGTTTTTTCTGATGGAAACCCTCTGTCCCCAAATCAGAACAAAGAGGCTTACTTTGTCAGGTGGGGTTCTGGAGTAAAGAGAGAGTAATGCCTGCCTCTTCTAAAGGGACTCTTTTTTATCAGAAAACTGAACAGAAGTTTAACTAGCATTCAGATCAGGCACACACATAGTCATACCTGGGAGGCAATGGGGGAATGTAGGCCATACCCCAGGGCCTCTGACTTCCTGCTGGATTCCTTAATTCTTCCAGTCGTCAATTCCTCATGTCCTGAACTCCTCAATCCTCCCAGGTTCACAATCACAGACATACGGTCATTAATGACATGTATCTATCTACACTTTGATTGGGTATATGTTAATGAAGGGTTTGGTCATGAAGACCTCCCCCGCTAAATGAAAAATGTATGGTAAGGAGTTTCATCCTAGAGGCCCTGCTCCTCTGCTCCAATGGTATGGACACTAGGGCAAGCAGCTAGAAGCCCAGAGGTCAAGAGCTTGAGGCCATAGCAGAAGTTGCTCAGGGCACAGCCATGTCAGATTTAAATGAATCTGCGAATTTTGCTAAATACCTTATCGCAAGGACACAAGAAA